GGGTTCCTCTGGAGGTTTGCCTGTAAAACTGGCGTTGGACCACTTGATTCCAGGCATCTGGTCAACGGGCGTCAGCATCAGAATATAGAGAGGAAGCTGTGTTTACATGGAAGCGTGCGACTAGTCTACGTCAAGACCACGCAATCGGAGTAATGCTCGGTTCGCTGTGGCTAGTACTAGTACTGCGGGGAGTAGGAGACTCCGTCGGCCCAAGTTCCCATGGAAACGGTCTCGCAGGAGAAGTGTCGCTATATTTGGGATAGTGACTCTCGGCGGTCTGTTCTTATGGACACGGGAGCTTAATCGGGGAAAGCCAGTCGTGTGGAAGCACGAAAGGCAGCTCCCGGTCTTACAGCTGATTGACGGAGTTTGCGACTTCGCCTGGTCAGTGCAGTGGGCCGTACTCTCCGCCGGCGAAAGGATGTGGCGACCCCATCACCCACGATTCGAGTTCAATACTTGATCGTGCAATCAGCCAGCCCTGAGCTCGGAAGACCCAATCATCTTAGTTTCTATGCCATTGGGTCGGAACTCGAGTTTAGGGACCGTTGGTCTGCTGACTGTGCATCAGCATACCCAGGTCAATAAACGCATATTCTATTCTAGGACACATATAAGACCATCAAGTCCAAAGCACAGCAAAGTCCTTCGGCGACTGGTAAGTTGCGACGGGAGCAAAATAGTGTAGTCTGGAAGCTCTTAGTGACAAACCGATACAGAGGCGTGTTCGCCGTTTTGCTCAAGGATTGGCTGTGGAGCAACTCGTATGCTGCATCTGTGGCTGAGCATCCCTATTAAGGATCCACTCTGCTCGCCCTGAAAGGGAAGAGGCTATAAAAGGTGCCCTAAACATAGCCAGCCAACAACTGCCCGACTGCATAACCGCGTCCAGAGGGTGCACCCCATGCGGTCGAAATAAAATAAAGAAAAAAGGAAAATAAAGTCAATCATGCCACGTGGAATATTCGGACAATTATGGATACCAGCACAAATACAAGACCACAACGAAGAACGGCAATGGTGGCATGGGGATGAAAGAGATTTAACATCGATATTGCAACTCTAAGCGAAACCAGAAGAGCAGGCGAAAGTCAACTGAAGGAGCACTGAGGAGGCTATACGTTTTTCTGGGAAGGAAACGAAGAGAATGAACCTCGCATCCGTGGAGTGGTTTTGCCATGGGTGTGCTAGCCTTAAGTTGGCCCCACCGGATTTCGGGAGAAGATTATGTGATTCCTGTGGATGTGCTAGCTTAACCAGTGGTCGTGCTAGCTATACCCTTGGTGTAGGTTGATCCTTGTTGTTTCAAATGTAGTGGAAAACATGAACCAAATTTTTGCTCCAGTGACACACCCCTAGATTGTCCAAATTGCAAACTTTTTAATCTTGGAAAATAGAATGCATAGTGTCCGAGATCCTAAATTTCCAAAATTTCATCAAAAAATCGAAAAGCAACGTGAATATGTTAATTTTACTGCTACTATATAACCAACAAGAAAATTTTGCATAAATAAAACTTTCGACCAAAATGAAAAAACAAGTCACACCAAATCTGATCCAAATTATAACAAACAAAACAATAATACTTTCGCTATAATACATCAAAATGTAGGTATTAGGCAACTGTGTGGTTATGATAACAGGTCTGCTTGATGAACACCCTAACTGCAAATGTCTATGCACTTTTGAACACTGGAGAAAAGCTGATGAACTGAAGGCAACTGGTATATCTAATTTCAGCTTACTTCTGTAGAAAAAATGGATATGGAGGAATAGCGGTGAGCGGTGTATCGTACCTACGTGTATCTTCATAAGGGCATAACATTTTTAAGAGAGCGAAAAATTGACAATCTTTCAGTTGAAGGTATTTTTGAATGGGCTTGTGTGGAATTTAATCTAGAAAATGAACTGGTTGTTGTTGTTTGTTGTGGTGATTCATAGATCTCCTAAAAGTGACATTAAATTATTCCTTAAAAAAGTGGAACTTATTTTGGTGAAAATAATTAATGAAAATAAAAAGGTATTTATTACTGGTGACTTTAACACGGAGAACAAAAGAAGAACTCTAGTTGTGTAATTGACACTACAGTGTCGGATCATGCTGCCCAGAAGATTGTGTTTAGTTGAAGTCCCTAAAAAACCTGCTTTATAAAAGATTTTTTAGTGAAACAAGTAGGCAGGAATTTCTTACGTTGTTGGCTCAACAACAATGGCAAGAGGTTTTTTAAGGTTTTTTAAACACATCAGAAAGATGTTAATCAGCAATGGTATGTTTTCATGCAAACTTTTCTATTAATTTTTAATGAGAGTTTTCCAAAAAAATTGGTTAGTATCGGTCAAAGGCACAATTACAAGCCATTGTATAAAAATGAACAAATACAAAATGTTAAAAATAGATAAAATATTCTCCTAATGTTAAAACGCAAAAATAACAACTTTAATGAATCGACAATTTGACGTTTGATACACGCATAAAACGTCAAATTGTCGAAGCAATGTCAAAAAACGAGCGAATTTCGCGCAAGTGAGAATGAGGCATTACACCACTCTAAAAAAGGAATATGATATGATCTAAGAATATGATCAATTACTAATAAAAGCTCGATCTGATAATTATAAAAAACGAATAAATAATTCCGAGAATATAAATAAATATATAGGTATGTTCTATCTCTGAAGAAAGTACGGAAGACAACTCACGGGTGAATGACACAATGATTGCTGGATATTCTACGGAAATTGCAAATAATTACAATGCATTTTTCTTAGCGCAATTCCAGAGCTACAGAAAAAAAATCCAACATCTAAATTATAAAATTAATATTCAAGAAAATGATAGATCTTTGTTTTTAAAACCTGGTAATCCAGTAGAAATTTTAGAACAAAAAGAATAAAAAACAAACACAGCTTTGGTGGGAATGAAATAGGTACCTACAAGTCTCATCCCTCAGATTATTCCAGCGATCATTGACGTCTTATGTTACATAATAAATAATTCCCTTAGAGAGGGCATTTTACCGATAGTCTAAAACTGGCAGCAATTAGGCCCCTGTATAAAAATAAGGGAGATAAAAACACGTTTGACAATTACAGACCTATGTCTTCTTTCTGGATTCTCCAAGTTATTTGAAATTGTCATGTGCACAAGAATAATGGATTTTCTGAATGATTGTAATGTATTTTCTGATAATCAACATGGTTACTTGGTGAAAAAATCTACACAAACAGCCATTTTTCAATTTACGCACACAATTTTTAAGCATCTTGAAGATGGGTACATGGCTGTTGGAATATTCCTAGATTGATCAAAAGCTTTCGATTGCTTGGACAGAAACATACTTCTTCAGAAATTAGAACTATACGGGATAAGGAGTCGAGCTTTTAGGTGGATTGAAACCTATCTGAATAAGAGAGAGAATTAATTACAATACATAGAAGTGGTACCATATGTATATTATATCAGAAATTGCACAGAATATGGTGGTTGTCCCTCAGGGAAGTATACGTGCACCTTGCACCATATCTGTTTATTATTTATTTGAATGATATAAATTATTATGAGGCGAATATAGATTACTTCAATTGGACTAAATATGCTGATAATACAAATTAAATTTGGAGCTTCATCTATTCCTGAGAATCGTCAAAATGCAAATATTTTTGTTTGTTTCAGCCAATCCTTGGTTTGAGAAAAATAAATTACACCTGAATAAAGATGAAACAAATACTATACTATTCAGAACAAAATTAAACAAGACTAAAAACCCCAAATCAATCACAATTGGTGAAACTAATCTCGAACTTAAAAATATCACTTCATTCTTCATCACTGGGTATTTATATAGATGAATTTCTGGACTGGTCTGGCCATGTTGAATATTTGAATAGTAAACTGAACAAAGTTTGTTACTGTATCCGTACTGTGGCAACGCATTTGGATGAACCTGCAAAAAGGCCTTTGTATTTTGCAAATTTTGAGGGAACAGCTAGGTATGGCATAATCTACTGGGCAGCACACTCTAAGGCGCATTGGGTGTAAGACTTTTCAACAAGTTAGATGCAAGCACAAAAGGTATAACTATAGAAAGGATCTTCAAAAGAAGGCTGAAAGCTTATTTAATTAACTTGGAGTCATATAGTATAGATGACTACTCAGGTAGATATTATTAGGAAGTTGATGAATTAAAAGTGTCTAGTTGTTGGGTTGTTGTTATTTTCATATAAGGTATTGATCTTTTGTTATAAGATACTTTATTTTTATGACGATATTTCATTTCATATTTTGTATGTTTTTCAAATATACAGGGTGTTTGGTACATCGATAGGAAGTTTCCAATAAGGAAGCTGTTTGACCACATTCACCCTTATGCAAAGTTTCCTCTTTTTTGAGATATCAGCATTTTTAGATATTTTTGGAAAATATTTGAATTGTTCCTGAAACATATTTTTTTTTTTGTAGTAAACCTTTTTCAATTTTTTTCCGATATTCCTAATATGCACTCTTTCCTAAAAATACGGAAAGAAAACCCGAATGATTGATAATTTTCCTATCGATGTACCAAACACCGTGTATAATAATGTTATCTGAAATAAATAAATAAATACATATTACTATTTTTTTCTGTCACGAGGTATGTCCTACCTGTCTATGGAATATAATGCGAGACTTTTATTCAATTTTGATATGCTTACAAATACTGATAGATTGTATGAACAACTAAAGTTAGCAAGGTTGCCCAAAATTTTAAAATAAGAACAATGCAAGTTAGTTTATGGAATTTTTAATGATTTACAAAAATCCAACACATGTCTGACCTTTGACCTTTCATAATGAAATTCACGACCATGATATAAAATATAATTTTATTGCCCAGCAGAATAAATGATGGATTGTATAAATCAATAATGAGCACTTTCTAGTCATAATCAGTTGCCCATGGAAGATGAAATTAAACCAATCAAATGGCATTAACCCTTGTTAATAATTCGTTCTTTTTCAGCGTCGAAAGAAAACATGAAACCAGCTCTACCCAGAGACCATTAGTGAGAAATGGCAGTAATGCTAATATAAATCCATCAGGAATTAGTTAATATCTGGACATACCAACCTAAAAAAATTATATTCTTGGTAAAGTCTAAAAAAGGGTTTATTGTTCTAATATTTAGAGTAGAATGGTTATTTTAAAAAATTGACTTCCATTTTTTATTGATGTTAGAAATGTATTAAATATGTATGTTAGGATATAGGTGTACTTAATGTAGGTGTGCATGTGAAAACTCTTTTTCTAAGTTGATGGTATAAATGCCAGTACTTTTGTTCTCAGCTTTCGAATTGGACAGCCGTTAAAAAGTGGTTTGAATGTGCTCCAACCAAACCACATCATACTTACAGACCTTGGCCCATGCAAAACCTTGTTAAATTTAACGAGGTGTTAAATTTGTTAATCGAGATCAAAAGTATGGGCCCTGAGTAAATTAAATGTTACATTAATTCCCGATTCATATAGTTTGAAATATATGTAAGCAATAATTATTGAATATACATTTAGGAAAACAAAAAATAGTTTCAATTTAATATTAATTTATTCTATTAATTGTCATTACAAAAATAGCATTGTTAAGATGCCTAAAATAATACAATGAAAAAAAAACAGCTTGGAAGACAGTAAAAAACAAAATTATTATTTTATAGCCTTAACATGTCATTAGGCTAATTTAGGCGACAATTTTTCCTTTCTTCGTTACTGCGAAATATGATACAAATAAAGATGCAATGACAGCAATAAATTCACTTCTCAACCAAGGGCCGCTGTAAGCTCCTGGGTGCACAACAGATATATTGAAGAATTCAGATACAGATGAGGTAGCTTCGTTACCCCTGAGTACTTTACGGAGTGCAGCATAGCCGTCTTCTTCAAAAATGCGGATTTTGTGTGTGCCTTTAGCAGCTGTTTTGGTGTCTTCAGTCCAGCTAACCTTAAAAAAAAAACTAAATAAGAAAATAATGAAATATGATATTGTATTTACAAAATTTGTGAACTTTTTTGTCTGGCAACGCAAAAACCCAATGAGCCTTTTTCAATTTATGTTAAGTTAAAAGATATCAGGTGCAAGAGCAGATTAGCGGATAAATTTCCAAACAAAACTGGGATGTCCTCGACTTGACCTTGGTTAATACCTGAGCAGCCTTTTCTACAACTTGCATTGCCAACGGAAATTTAGACCAGTAAGTGTTATTCAATGCCGGTAAGGGTATTTGCTCTTAGAGTAGTTGTGTCGGTTTTTTCGTTGTGCAGATGACACCAAATTCTTTTGCAATGCCATCACCAGCAGTGAAAATTTCGAATCCGACCTACTGTTGATATCTCAGCGGTGTGAGAACTGGCTGTTGACCCTCAATGGAGAAAAATTAATTGTACTCCACATTGGCACTAACAATCCTTTATCTGATCACGAACTGATCATAACCTTATTATTAACAAATAAACTGAAAGATCTTGGCGTCATTCTAATTAACAATAATTTAAAATCAGAAGCGCATCTCAAAATGCGTTGAAAAACCTAATTCTATGGCCTACCTGACCCAAGGGTTGGGTAACGTCACGTAAAAAAATATTTTTCTACATGTATGTAGAAAATTGTGTAGAAAATGTAGAATATTACGTCGAAAATTATTTTTCTACATGTTTAGAAAATTGCCTTAGAAAATGTAGAATATTACGAAGAAAATCAAAATGTTGAAAATTAATCCTGCAAAGAATCATTAGCGCAATCATAATCGCAATATACAGGGAGTCCCGGATAAGGATGCACTCTACAGGGATCTCCGTAACCATAACAGATACAGGGTTGGTTAAATTTGGAAAAAGTTGCGCATTACTGAGCTCAGTGTCATGTTTCAATACTTCGGAATATCCGAATGATTCCGAAGATATCTATGAAAAACCGAATTTTAACAAAATCGTTTTTATTTTTTTCTGACTCTATTTGAAATGATATCGCAAAATAAATGACACCTCATCAATCATCATTGCCATTTTTTCTCCTCTACAAGATGCTACCATCAAATTTAAAATCTGACGTTTAGTCTTTGGGCGACCATCATCAACTTCATTTTTTATATTGTACAGTGTGATTTTTTAGGTGCAACATATGGGGATTTTTTTTAGTAATAGCACAACCCAAATACAAACAAGGCCAAAAGTTGGTGCATGTCTGATAATCATATTAGGTGCACTTAGAATGGTTGCAAGTCAAACAGCATACAGGGTAGCACAATATCCAAGCTGTACTGTAAAGTACCCTTATTTTAGAAAATTCAGCAAAATGTTATAGAGAAGAGTTATTTGGAATTAAAAGTTATGCCTAAGTACCAAAACATAGCCTCCTAAGATTTTTTTTTTTTTTCGAAAAAAATCTATAATTTCTATATTTTTTTTATTTTTTATTTCCGCCCTTAATACTTTCAAAAATTAATTAAAATCAAATCAATTTTACATAACTTTGTTCAAATTCAAGCATATTTGTAAAATTACCTTAGATTTTTAATTTTTTATGGAATCACAAAATTCATGTTTGTTGCAATGATATTCAACACAACTTTAAAATGTCGCAATTTTTTTTTAAAAAGTTAAAACATTACTAATGATAATAGCCATATTAAAAAAATTCTCCTTAAAGTTCAAAAGTTTTTTTTTATTTAAGTAAATATTAGTGGAATTTTGATATTTTTTGAGCCACCCTGTATGCTGTTTGACTTGCAACCACTCTAAGTGCACCTAATATGATTATCAGACATGCGCCAACTTTTGGCCTTGTTTGTATTTTGATTGTGCTATTACTAAAAAAAATCCCATATGTTGCACACTTAAGTAATGACACTGTATATGTACAGCACTTGATTTTCTATTTTAGATTTTAAAAGCTCCTGATGTCCCAAAACCTTTGACGTATCGCATTTAATCGAAAAAATATTTTGTTTTTACTTTTTAGTAATTTCCTATCAAAATTCTCTTCTCTGCCTCTCTCTAACACATTAAGTTCTTATGGAAAGTGCCAATAATATAAACTTTTCGAATCAGTGCGATACGTCATTGGTTTTGGTACATCAGAAGGCAGAACCTCTGAACCCTCGAACCTCTGAATGTTGTACAGAATTATATTTTGAAAGTCATATGTCAAAAAGAAAAACGATTTCCTACCGTACAGCTTTACAACGACAAAATACTCAACATTAGAATGTTATATTTTTGTAACATTTGTCTTTTTCTGTACAAAAACAACAGAAAAGTTGAGCATACACACCAAACTAGACAAATATCCAATCAGAACTTAATTGTTCCTTTTTACAGAAAAGATGGTAACCAGAGATTTATTGCAAGCTTAGCTCCTAAATTGTACAATTCTTTACCAATTAACATAAGGAATATCTCTAAATATGGTGCATTCGCCAAAAAAGGCAAGCCAATCATCTTCAGTAACTATAAAACATTTCTTAAACTACTTTAATTCGCAGCGTTGAGTGCTTAGGAATTTTTTGCTTGTTTTTTTTTATTGTAAAATTTCTAACTTCCTTCATATGCTTTTATTTTAGTACATGCAGGATGCAGGTTGTAAAATAATTCACTTCACTAAGTATATTATATTATAAAAAGCTAATTTAACCCCTTAGATTTTTGCACTCAAATAGAGTCAGAAAAAAATAAAAACGATTTCAGCAAAATTCGGTTTTTCATAGATATCTTCGGAATCATTCAGAATTTCCGAAATATTAAAACATGACGCCACTGAGCTCAGTAATGCGCAACTGTTCCCAAATTCAACCAACCTTGTATCTCTTCTGGTTACGGAGATCCCTGTAGAGTGCATCCTTATCCGGGACACCCTGCATTTGAAAAGCTCAATAACAAAAAAATTACAAAAGTTCGAACTCATTGGGAGTTTGCAGAAAAACACTACCCCAATTATCCCGACTAGCGATTAAGCTAAACACAATTCCTGGGTCTTCGGCACAGCTTGAAAGACTCTTTTCAAATTTAGTTCAGGGAAATAACACTAATAAAGGGGTGTTGCCTTGCATGAAGTGAGGTAGTTCTGATTTTTTGATATGTTGTATTTGATGAAGTGGTTATGACAAATCCCAGTTTTCGACCTCGAAGGCCCTCCGGATAATTGTTAAATCTTACTAAAACCGCTAAATTTTCATTCTTTTTTTAATTTTTCGTCAATTTTGACCACCGGGGACTAATGTTGGGGACTAATGTTATGGCGAAAGTTGTTATGTACAATTTTAATTAAACAAAATTAAAAAAAAAAAAACAGAATAATTTGGTCTTTGTAGGTGAAATAGTTTCTAAGATACAGCAACTTAAAGTTTGGCTGACCCGAAAAGCATCGAGTTGCTACAATCCTAAAAATATACAAGTCCTACATCACATCAGACCCACACTAATGCCCAGTCAGTTTGGATAACATACTATAGCAGTGTTCTTTTTTAATTGTCAATACTGTATTTGCTGGGAAGCGTTCCAAAATTAAAATTCAGTGTACTGAATTACTGACGATGATCAGAAAATGAAAATTAAAAACAAATAATAAAAAAAAAAACAAAATAAGGCAATCCAAAAAATAAATTCAATATGGCGATTGGCGACATAAGTCAAGCATCTGTCATCAGTGATGTGTGTTTGTTCAAAAACTACGTTTTATTGATTTTTTTCCTCTAAATTGTGGTTTTTCATTGGTGTGAAGCATTTATTTTTTGAAAAATATCTGCGATATGTATTGTAGTTGTTGTGGAAGCCGTTCTTATCATGATTTGTGATAATAAAGTATCGTTTTATGTTGTTCCTGGAGACAAAACACAGGTTATTATTCTTTTTTTCAGCCATCCGCAAAAAGGCAGAACTACCCAAGTACCAGCGCAAAGAAACCTACTTGTTGGTTTCACTATGTAGATGACACATTTGTTGTTTGGAACCATGGAGAGGCAGAGCTCGAAAACTTCCTTAATCATCTAAACTCGATAGAACCCAGGATACAGTTTACGATGGAAGTTGAGAAGGATAACAAAATTGCATTCCTCGACGTCCTCTTAGAAAGATTACCCTCAGGTAAACTGGGACACAGAGTGTACAGGAAGCCGACACATACGGACAGATACCTCAACAAGGAATCTAATCACCATCCTAGGCAAAAGAGAGGAGTCATTAAAACTCTATCTGACAGAGCAATCCGGATTTGTGAACCCAGATACCTTCAGGACGAGATGCAACACCTAAAATCGGCACTTGAAGGAAATGGGTACTCCAAGCAGGAGATAAATAGAGCCATAAGACCGAAGCAGCAGCGCACAACTAACAAGGAACCAGCACAGGTGGCAGGGAGAGCCTTTCTTCCCTATATCAAAAATGTCACAGATCGCATAGGACGAACGCTAGAAAGACACAACGTTAAGCCTATCTACAAGCCCACAAGAACAATTCAGCAAAGTCTAAGATCGGCCAAGGATCCTAGGGCACCTCTTGAATCGGCTGGCGTCTATAGAATTCCCTGCTCTTGTGGATCTGTCTATGTAGGAACAACCAAACGCTCTATCAACACCAGGGTCAACAGAAAAGAAGAGGGCATGAACCTCAATAAAAGCTGGTTGCCAGTTCTCCGAAAAACAAAGACCCTTCCTTTCCGAGAACGAGACAAGGAAAATACCGTAATCCAAGCCACGCCCACAACCCTGGATATAAATAACGCAGTTCCCTCAACGTCGAATTCAGTCATCGGAGAAACACGGAAGAGAACACTTCGTCCTCTACCACACCGCCTCTGAAGATGTCTACCGCAGCAGTAGACGAAACGTTAGGTAGAAATACTAATGGACCACGGCATTATAGCCCGAAAAAACTTTTTTGCTAGATTATCATTTTAACCTATAAAACTGGCAGAGGCGTTACCCAGTTCCATCTTCTCAAAATTCTGTA